CTGAACATGACCAGTGCTGTCTTTGTACTTGTTCATTCAGCCTTCTGTGTCCAGCTCCTCTTAGCCTCCTTTCTGTCAAACTACAATAAATAATTTTCCACTTCTTAACTGGACGCTGTGTGTATCACCAGCAAGTCGTGCTGGCACTGGTGGCAGAGTTTTTGCCCAAGTTCAGAGATAATCTGTTTTATAGACTTCACGTCAAAATTTCCAAAATGAAAACTGAGGCTCTGAATATTGCAAAACATGATTTTCATGTATAAAAGGGCACTGAGGAATTGGCTTGGACTGCTGCAAATTGTATTCTAGTAGTGCTTTAGCAAGGCTGGCTTTAATAAAGTATTCCTGTGGTAATGCTCTGCCTAGAAAACTAGGCTGAACTGGAACATTGGTGGGAAAGTCTTTTTACGAGTCTGTATACTGGAACAATTGGAGAATTGGCGCTGTGTAGCATAATGTTAGTAATTGGCTAACTTTGTGGATTTTCACTGAATAGTAGGACGTCTTTAGTGAATGTAAGCTCTCACATAGAGTTCTGAGTCTTATTTTGTTCTTTACATTTCCATCAGTTTTACTGAACTGTTGGCTGTAAAACCAATGAAAAAGTGTAGAATCTTTTGGGTGTCTGAGAAATCCAGGTTCATTTCTAAGTTTAGACATTGGAGCATAGTTGGTAAATGCCATACTGGTGTTAACTTTTACATGGCTGTAGAGAACTTGTGTTGTGGACTTAACTTGGTGCATCAAAGTTTTGATTTCACAGCATTTATTTCTGCTTTGTGTGTTTCTGCTTGAATTCAAGTTCAACTGGAGCGTTAGTACAAAAGCATTCAGTGTATTTAAGACTCAAGTGTATTAATCTTTTTTGTCAAGAATCAACAACAAGTGGAACACAATCGTGAAGTGGAACGAAATGTATTGGATAATTTAAACTTTTTTAACAAATAAACTGGAAAGTGGGGCGTGCAATATACTTCTGCTCCCTTGCGCTAATACTTTGTAGCGCCACCTTTTGCTGCAATTACAGCTGCAAGTCGCTTGGGGTATTTGTCTCTCAGTTTTGCACATCGAGAGACTGGAATTCTTTCCCATTCTTCCTTGCAAAACAGCTCGAGCTCAGTGAGGTTGGATGGAGAGCGTTTGTGAACAGCAGTCTTCAGCTCTTTCCACAGATTCTCGATTGGATTCAGGTCTGGACTTTGACTTGGCCATTCTAACACCTGGATACGTTTACTTGGGAACCATTCCATTGTAGATTTGGCTTTATTATTTTGGATCATTGTCCTGTTGGAAGATAAATCTCCGTCCCAGTCTCAGGTCTTTTGCAGACTCCAACAGGTTTTCTTCCAGAATGGTCCTGTATTTGGCTCCATCCATCTTCCCATCAATTTTAGCCATCTTCCCTGTCCCTGCTGAAGAAAAGCAGGCCCAAACCATGATGCTGCCACCACCATGTTTGACAGTGGGGATGGTGTGTTCAGGGTGATGAGCTGTGTTGCTTTTACGCCAAACATATCGTTTTGCATTGTGGCTAAAAAGTTCGATTTTGATTTCATCTGACCAGAGCACCTTCTTTCACATGTTTGGTGTGTCTCCCAGGTGGCTTGTGGCAAACTTTAAACGACTTTTTATGGATTTCTTTGAGAAATGGCTTTCTTCTTGCCACTCTTCCATAAAGGCCAGATTTGTGCAGTGCACGACTGATTGTTGTCCATGGACAGACTCTCCCACCTCAGCTGTAGTTATCTGCAGTTCATCCAGTGATCATGGGCCTCTTGGCTGCATCTCTGATCAGTCTTCTCAAAGATCCTCACTGAACTTCTGGAGTGAGTGCACTGAAAGTAAAGGGGCCGAATAATATTGCACGCCCCACTTTTCAGTTTGTTAAAAAAGTTTAAATTATCCAATACATTTTGTTCCACTTCACGATTGTGTCCCACTTGTTGATTCATGACAAAAAAATTAAATTTTATATCTTTATGTTTGAAGCCTGAAATGTGGTGAAAGGTTCAAGGGGCCGAATACTTTCGCAAGGCACTGTATACCTTTTTTGAATCAAATAATCACTGACCTTTTCGTAATAAAACTTATTGGATTATCAAAAAAATTGTTAATTACAGCCATGCTAAAAAGACATGGTGCTGTAGCGAGGTTCATTCTGCAGATTTTGAAGACAGCCATTGTTTTTAGATAAATGATGATTTGATAAAATGCACAAATTAACTACACAACTAAATGGCTCAAATCACTGTTGTCTTCCTCTTCATTTTAACGACATATCTTTTCCCCCAAAGATGGTTAAATTTTTCAAGGTGATCCAAGTGTATATTCTATTGATTCAGTAGAAACCTTTGAACCACTGGTTGTGGCTGCTGTTACTGCAGAACATTATCCGAAGCCTATTATCCAGTATTACAAATCTTTGTGGATTTATCAAAGCAATAGAATCCAAAAGACGTTAAGGGTAATTAACTAGAACAGCAGTTGTTGTGTGAACTGCCAAGCCCCTCAAAGCATGTCCCCGGAGTAAATGTACTCAACTTTTTGGGGAAAAGTCCAGTGTTCAAAGTGTGAGTGGAAATGGTTCAGTAATGTTTGACAGGGTTACTCAAGTATACTAGATAGATGTCCATAAGCAGCATGTTTTTAGGGTGTTTATTAACCAATACTATTGACTTATGGATACATGACATTCACCTACTGCACTGCAAGAAGTTCTGACACTTCTCCCCTTCATTGTTGAATGCAATCATTGCCAGAAGCGTTTTCAGTGAATTAAAATGTTTTGATGTTCAATAAGGCTATGATTATTTGTTATATAAAAGACTGAGTCCAGATAAATGGGCATGAATGGTGGATTATATGAAGCAAATAATGCAGAACAATTAATCAAATATCCACTTTCCCCAGAGGATATGTACAACATACTGTATATTTGTTTTGTTTTAGACTTCACTCAACAGTTGGTGTTGAAACTGGGTTCAGGGGAGAACGTTTCCTCTTCATGGAAATGCCAACTTCAAAGTACTTGTAGCAAGAGATCTTTGCTGTTATAAGAATTACAGTGTGTGAAGCTTTACAAACCCACAAACATTACTGTGCTGCTTCTGCACAGCATTCATTTAATGGGACCAAAATATTAAGTTTGCTTCTCATTAGCATTGATTTAATTTAGAGTGATATTGCTTAAGTAATCAATCATCCTGATTTTGAGTGGTCATTGCTGGCCCTAGATACTATCAATATTAATCACAACTGGTATTTGCCCACTCCCTTTTTTAGTTACCGGTATATTGCTCTTTATACATAGAATTTTGAAACGCATTACTTGGTGGCATCACATGCAGAGGTTAACCCATGCTCAACATGGAAGTGTTCAAAACAAATACATTTTTAAATCAATGTTGTAAAATCACACTTACGTGAATCATAAGTATGGTCCGTATTTTGTGTTTAGAATGAGTGGTGAGTTAGTTCTTGAGCTGTGGGCTGTTATCAAGAATGAGCTCATGCTCTGAGCATAAACATCTGGGTGGGAGGAACAAGGAAGACATTTAGGGACAAATTCTCAAAATTGTGTTTTAAATGATGATTTTTAGGGCTTCAGTCTGTCCCCCTTCAGCATGTCCCCCCTCAGCAACTGTTTGTGAACCACTGCATACTTGTCCCTATGTTCTTTATTTGAAAATCAGCTTTGTCGCAAAGCTACACTCATTCAATCAAACTTCATGCATCATTCAGAGACCAGGTGCCCTGGGTTTTTCCCTGATTCAGTTGGTACAGACCAGAGGCTAAGATGGGCTAATGTTGCTACATAAGAATGCCAACACAATGCTACAGTTGCTGCTGTTATTTTCCCCATGTCCCACTTGTCCCACAAACTGTCACTGCAGTCACAGCCTACAGTTCTCAAGCATATGCCCACTTTAAAAACATTCAATACAAAACTTACTATATCCAATCTGATCTGTAAAAGGCGCCATATAAAGATTACTAACTTACTTCACAACCATAATGAAAAATCTTAATTTGCTTATTCTGTAAAAATACTATAGGGAATAACGCACAGTATGTTAACTAGGGGTGGGAGCCTAAGGGTACCTCACGATATGATACGATACACGATACAAAGCTCACGATAAAGATAATATCACGATAACGATATTACGATAACGATTTTATCACGATATGACGATTATTGATATATTGGTCAGAAATATACAATATGCCAATTTATGGCATAAATAAAAGAAAAAATACTTTATTTCATGATAAATATAATGGAGATGCGTAATGTAGCCATATATTAAGTATTGATACCAATTAAATAATTTGTTTTAATTTTTTTTTAAATCGATATCGATACTTTGCAAATGCATATCGATAATCGAATCGCGGGAGAAAGTATCGCGATATATCAAAATCGATATATCGTCACACCCCTAATGTTAACAAAGTTGTTTTATAGAAAATGTATTCCATAAAAGACAAAACCGACAACTTGTCAATAGTATTCACTCATATCAGATAGATTTTTAATCAACCCAATAATCAAGATTATTGGCAAAATTATAATTTTCAACCTTACAATTTAGATTAAAATCCGTTAACGAAAGGGTAGCAATGTTTTTATAAATGTGACCAAAACAAAGCTAAAGCACATAACGACTGCGACTGCAGTTGATCAAAATAATACATTTGTGGTCAACTAAACAAGCATGTTTCATGCTTTTATAATGTACCAGACCCAAACTACTCAAAAACTCGAATACATGAAGGAAAAAAATACTATTTAGGCCAAACAATTCCTGAACATAAATAAAAAAATAAAAAAAAACGTTAAATGGAAAGTTTGAATTTCAAATACATCTTCTGTACATATTTTCATAGACTGTTTTTTTAATTGTAAAACAAAAAAAATCAGTTAACTAGTGAAACATTTGGTCAACTAAGCATTAATAAACTAATGATTGACAGACCTGCTGCGTGGCCGTTGCAGCATGTTTCCTTGGTCTGTTGAGGACTACAATGTCCAACCTCTGGGATGCATACGTGTCACAGCAGAGAATCGGAGCAACTTCACCTTCAGCAGTGCTCCTCCTGACTCAGCTCCTGTGTCTAACGGCCTCTGTATGTGACACTGATGTGCTATCAAAGCTCGTCCCTCAGTGTGTTATTGCTCATGGCATCAGTTTCAATATACTCATGTAGCTGATTTAAAAAAAAAAAAAAAGCCACGGCTGTAATGAGGTGTGGGTGCTGTGAAATATATATATTTTGATGCAGAATTACGTATATTTTTGCCTCCCCCCAATGGTTTTGAGAATTGATTGTGAGACACATCGAGTCATCAGTATTTGGCACACCCCTGATAGAGTATACTACTTTCTTATGGAGTGTTTCGTTATCAAATCTTGTTTTAGCCCTGACCTTAACTTGTTCTAAACAAGGGCAAACTCTTTGTATTTGATCTCGGACGCCATTATTTTTTTCTCGTGCTTCCTGCTCTTGCTGCAGTTAAAGAATGAACCCACTTGTCTAATCCAAGTTTTGCTGAGTCAGGTTTCTCCGATCCACTCCTGAGTGTTTGGGGGTAAACACAGGCCTTTGTTTGGAATGGCTGTGCGCATTTTCTGTTTAGAGTTGGTAACAAAAAGACATTGAATGTTTCAGTGGGGTAAAGGTTGGAATGAGGCACAGACTGCGTTTTATTATTGAATTAAATTCAGAAAACGGTTAGCTTTGTCTGTTTTTAAATAAAATTGGCAAAGTTTAACTAGTTACTTGTGTGTCTGTTCTGCTCCATATTAGAATTTAAAATGTATTTACATTTGACTTGTGGACATTATGTCACAGGCCTGATTCCAGTGCAGATGAGAAACTTCCATGATATTTCTTGTTTTATTTTGCTGTAGTTATAGATCAGAGTTATAATATATAAAAGGTTAATGTTATGGGGTCTGAATTTAAAAATATTTGTCTTAATCAAATAATACATTTTATTTAAATTACACATGCAAACACATCTCGAAGTGGGACCTGGTTGGGATTAGTCAATAATAAACTTGTTTCTGCTATTTTTTAAATATTTTAATGCTTTCAGTTAACTTGGAATAATGAGGGTGTGTGCTTCTTTTCCAGGTGGCTTCTCTGTGGTGTTTTTGGCTCGTACTCACAGCGGCGTGCGATGTGCCCTAAAGAGGATGTACGTGAACAACCTCCCCGACCTCAACGTCTACAAGCGGGAGATCACAATCATGGTGAGGAACACGACCCTCATGAGCAGCAAGGACCAGTATTCAAAGAATGACTTTGTAAACGGTAATGAGAAACTCCAGTTTGAAAAAGGACCAACATGTGTCCACCTCTCCCTTGGGTCAAATGTAGACTCTCTGGGGACAATAAAGCCTACCTTAGTCTTAGCATTAACCCTTCAAGGTCTAAGCTCATTTTGGGGAACTTTCCTCGCCTGGTTTTCTTTGTGTATAATTGCTCATAAAACAGTCATCTTGTGATGCAGAGTCAAGCAGTAAACTTTGTTTTTTTCAGTACAACCTGTGGATTTATAATATTCATAGTGTACAGCTGTCATATGAATTATATAAAAAACATGGAATCATGAAGACAAAGAAAAAAATGAAACGGAAATTCAATTTCACCAAAATGTTTTGAAAAACCCAATGAAATGCTATTGCTAACTTTTTACACTGTATAGAAATGTTATTTAGGGTCTTTGGGATGATGGGGGAAACAATTTAACCTGTGACTATTATAATTTTTACAAAATTCCACTACAAGTGAAAAAAACGCTGTACTCCTGATGCCCTTCCTCAAGCAGTTTGTCTATGACGTCTATATATTGCTTCAGTATCACAGCTGAAAGATATGTAAAACAAAAAAAACTAAGAAAACAAAAAGAAAAACAACATCTCATATTTATATACATTATATACACATTATATCATTATACTGTATTTATTACTGTTAATAATAAATATATAATATAATTACATCAATAATGCGCCCTCTTCAGCCAGGTGCTGACTCTTGTGAGCGCTGCATCTGTGTCTCCTCCTATCTTTGTGTAATGCACTTTCAAGCCCAGACTCTGAACACACACATCACTCGTAGATCACGTAGTGCAGTGATCAAAAGCTACATTAGCTGTGTCGGGGACGCATTTTCGTAACATTCCGCTAAAATAATGCGTATTTTACGCATCAGTAATTGCAATCGCAGCTGTAATTTCAATTATGGGACGATAAATACACACAGGAGAGTGGATCATCCTACTCTCTGACAATCTTTGGCAGTCCCTGTGTCAGCGTGTAAGCAAAATAACTTTACTGTTTTGGCTGTTTTACCTCACGGGAGACCGCTCGAAGATCCGATTGGACACCGACTTTCAAACACGCGTAGAAAATCCCCCACAAGTCACAAAGACAAAACAAAACTAGCGCTGTAATGCCTGAAATGTGTACTTCACGGAGAAAAAAAAAGTAAGTCGCTACGTTTTGCCGTTCATGAAAACATGTGCGCAGGCATCAGATCCGATGCTCTAGACCCCAGAGGGTTAAAGTGTGTCGGCCCAGACTTGTCATCCATTGTTTGTTTTAAACCACTTATTGAATTTGCGTCGTTTTATTGAAGCCGTCTTACTGGTTTGAAACGTGACTCGCAGCTGTTTATCCAGTCTGTGTTTGTCTACGTTTTCTGACATTGTGAGACTGCACCTGCTCCATTCACTCTCCGCTTTGATGTGATAAGATTTTTACATAAAACCTGCCATTTAAACTTGAGGTTTATAGCCCACTTTTATGTTCCCAAGTCATCAAAGGTTGGAGTGAGTCTGGTCCTATGCAAATCAGCAGTCAACGGTATATGCTTTGGTTGGTGAATTTGCCTACCGGTAATTAGATGTAAAAAATAAAAAAAAGGTTAGCGTTCGTAACCGCATTATTCCTGTACATGCCGACACCTTAGCTTTTGGTGCGATAACATTTAGACAACTTTTTTTTTTACTTATAGCGGCAGCATCTGCAAGTTTTGTAGGGACATTTGAGATGAAATTCAGGCACAAAAAAAAACCTGTAACTGTTTTTTTGTTTTTTTTATATAGCTCTATGGGAGGACTAAGTGTTTTGTCCTTATGACAGATTTTCATCAATACAAAAAATCTGGGAGATATTTTTGTCAATCCGTGAAATGTAATTAAAATACAGTATTTGGACAAAGATGAGCACGGCATGCATGGGCTCATTTTTGACTGTGCTCGTCTCAATTGGAAAAAAAATACAGTGTCGTGGCTAGGGATGCACCGATCCGATACTGGATCGGATATCTGCGTAGAAAGAGGCGCTGTGCTGCCGATCCATTTTCTTTTAAAATTGTATATATTTTTTAATACATACCAGGTACCGCACAACGTCTTAAAATACATTGTGCATAATGTACATATACGTATAAAATGAATTAATTAAAAGTAGTAATCTTTATTTATATACCGCCTTTTCACTGCAGATCTGAGTCTCAAAGCGGTTTACAATTGTTCATTTGTATTTATTTTTTTTGGGCATTTGTCTCTCACTCCACACAGAGATGGGAGCGGGGCCAGTACAGGAGGCACATGCCAGAACTATTGGACATATTTTTAGTGGTAGGGGAAACCGGAGTACCCGGAGGAAACCTACGCAGACACGGGGAGAACATGCAAACTCCACTCAGAAAGGCCCTGGTCCGACCGGGATTCGAACCCAGGACCTTCTTGCTGAGAGGCGAGAGTGCTATCCACTCAGCCACCGTGCCGTAATTTATTAGATCTCACGTACACGTCACTTCCTCGTGGCGCTCTACAACAACACAGCATGGAGCGCAGGAAAGAATCAGCAACTAGCGAAATACAACACGACTAAGCACCACGAGAAACAGCATGGGGAGTTTTTGCATCGAAAGGAGATTACGTGAAAACATCGAGACACAGATGACACTGACGCAGCGTCACAAAAAGCTTTTCAGCAACAACCCGAAAGTGTTGGAGTTCATCAGTTTGGGCTCGCAGCCCCATAGACCATTTGGAACCCAGGTACATGCTGAAATCCAGTTAAAGCTACGGTACTATTATTTATTTACATTTTTATGCAGCGTGTTTTGTTTGTTGTGTTTTTTTATTCAAACACAGTTAATATAAGTAAATTTATATTCAATAAATGTATAAGGTATAATACAGTGTTGGAATGTTTAATGTGAACATTGAGCAGCTCTTTATAGTTTCAGTATTGCACATTTATGTTGAATCCATTTTTACCTGGAAAGTTTAGCGCTTTAGTTCATCCACTGCTTTTGCAGTTATTTGAACAAAGAGTTCAATTATTAAATACATTTTAGCATGGTCATTTCCGATATCGGTATCGGCAGAAACCCATAGCTCTGGTATCGGTAGTAAAAAAGCTGGATTGGTGCATCTCTAGTCGTGGCTCAGCTATCAAGCTCTCGTCTACATACAAAGGCCTGGAGTCAGGTGCCTCCGTTCTGATCCAAAAGAGTGTTTAAATAACAAGAGTCAACTTATCATTCCGGGTAAAACCGGAATTCAAGCCATTCTTTGTCTCCTAGAAAACTTTCTATGCGATACAATACCTGGACTGTGGTATGTGATTTGGCAGAGTGAAACACCGCCACTGAATAAATTCTTACCTACAGACTTGCCCAGGTGATCGATTCGTCGCCTAACTGGGGATGTAGCAAAATCTTTGGAAAGTAGAAGATTTTGGGCATAAAATCTCACAAAATTGGGAGTTTGATGTGGCTTGAACAACAGTAACTGCCAAATGTGTTGATTTCTTTCTTTCTGTTAAGACGATGCATTAAAAAAACAGGTAACCCACGTTTACTTTTTATGTTTAAATTCTTATGTTAACATTTCCTGCGTAAACGTTTCAAAAAAGGTTGGCTCAGAGGTTCTTTCTGAGCTATGTGTTGTGCCAGCATCAGTGCCTTCATTACAAAACAATGGGCTGACACAAACTGGTAGCTATGCATTTCTAAGAATTTTGAAGAAAACTTAGAAATGGATTTTGAATGTGTGTCATCTCTAAACTGATTTTCAGAAGTTTGTGCAAAATTGAGAGAATTTTTGAATATGTATTAGTTTGCAGCAGTACTACGCAGACGTGTCAGTCCAGTGATTTGAATAAAAGACATTAGCCTGTTTAAAAGATAGATTTTATTTTAGAGCCAGACCTCATTACAGGCATTACACAGCATTGATGCTAAGCTAAATGGATGTAGCGATCGATACAGGAAAAAGCTAAAGGAGCCAGAGTTGCGCCAGGTTATTGAGATAATGGATTTAATGTGTGTGGGCTTTCTACTTAAAGAGCGACTAAACACCAAATCAACTTTTTCAAACTCATAAACTGCATAAGTATGTTTATTGTAGTGCTGTCTACATATCCTGGTCATTCTTTTGACATTTTAGTTCAAATTAGATAAAATATCACTTTTGAGCCAAAAAACGCGGTGTGGCGCCCTCTCCACCTTTTTGGTGGTACTACATTTGAATTTGGTTCTGGCCTCTCCATTGACTCTGAAGTTCTCTATGACATCAGTTGTTTTGTGTGACGTCAGTCTGTCAGAGCCAGTGATGTGAACCCATCCAACTCTCACACACGCCCCAGCTGCAGTTTGGAGTATTCTGGCGCCATCTAGTGGATTCAAATTAAATTACATGAGTCATTCTGAGATTATTGAGTGTGATTAGGTTCAGGTGTGTAGCTTTACAATTATCTTAGTGTGTAAACAAGGGTGGAATGAGACTTTCTGGTCTGTAAACTATTGCTTTAAGCAGCAATGACAACTGTCTGTTTTTGTGTGTGTGACAAGTGAGCTGTCAATCACAGCCCAGACCACGCCCAACTCTAAGCCCCCCTTCTTGTCCCTTAGTCCTCCAGGCAACGCCCTTTTTAGAGAACATTTTCAAATCTTCATGTGGGCGGAGTCAGGCTGGGCACAGGTGTTTAGTTGCTCTTTAAGATGGTTTCATCAGTACAAAATGAGGAGGAAATGTGAGGCTTCACCAGAGCGTTACAGGAGTCTCTTTAATACACAATGCAAGCTGCACTACCCTTTCATAACCCTCCATCTTCAGCGGAGGACTGTGTAAAGTTACATTCATAAGGGCATTTCGGTACATTGATTTGGGCTACGGTTTTTTTTTTTTTATTTCTATTAAAATTGGTAAAATATTGTACTTTAAATAACGAGTCAATCAAAATAACTGGATGCAAAATAACTTTCTTCAGTTAAACCCAAACAAAACTGAAGTTATTGTGTTTGGCCCACAGAAACTCAGATGTTTGCAGCCTTCTCCAATCCTCTTCTGTCTCCAAATTACAAAAATCAGGTTAGAAATCTAGGAGTAATCATGGATTCGGACCTCGATTTCAATAGTCACATTAAATCTGTAACATCAGCGGCTTTCTACCATCTAAAAAAACCTACTAGAAACAAAAGCATGTGTTTCTAGTAGGTTTTTTAGACTACTGCAATAGCCTTCTCTCTGGTCTGTTCAAAAGAACAGGAAGTACGACCACATTAGTCCAATCCGCAGGTCTCTGCACTGGCTTCCTGTAGCTCCGAGAATAGATTTTAAATCAGCACTCCTTGTTTATAAGTTTCTCCATGGCCTCGCACCAGAGTACATATGCAACATGCTGGTGCCGTACAAGCCGCTCGAACTCTGAGGAGCGCAGGGACTGGCCTCCTGTTGGTGCCCAGAGTTGGGACTAGACATGGGGAGGCAGCGTTCCAGACCTATGCACCTAGAATCTGGAACAGTCTTCCCGAAGGTGTGAGACATGCTCCTTCCTTAGCTATATTCAAGTCCAGGCTGAAAACGGTTCTTTTCAGCCGTGCCTACGACTGATCATCAGGAAACGGATCATAATTTTATTATTGATATATATATATATATATATATATATATATATATATATATATATATATATATATATATATATATATATATATATATATATATATAATCAATATTTATTCATTTTTTTATTAGGCCCGAGCCCCGAACGGGGAAAGGGCCTATTGTTTTTGCTCGAGAGATGTCAAATTCTGCACTTTGAGCCTTAATTTGACCCCCTGAATATGAAAAGTTGTAACATTTTGCCCAAACATCAGACTAGGGATGTACCGATCCAGAATTTTTGTAATCCGATCCAATTCCAATATTCTTAAATATTGTTTTGCCGATACCGATCAGATACCATTTTTTTCTAATATTTTCAACGCATTAAAGAATTTGCAATTTTACCTGAATAAATACGTTTTTCGTGTCGGCTAACACACGTTAACAGTCACAGGGAATGAGGCTCAAGGAATATGTTCACAAGCAGTCTCCCCCATAGTTAGTCCTGGTGAAATCCTGGTTTAGTCCTCGTTTATCTCCTGTTTTGTGTCTCCCTCTGTTTGGCCGCTCTCTGATAGCCGCACTGAGGAAAAAGTTCATCACTTGCTTTCGCCGCATGCACCAAGTCTGTGTCCACTGCCTCTGCCACACCGCACATGCTATGCCTCGCACAAACGTGCATAACCATTGACACGGCATTGAAAAACAATCTTTAGATCCATGTACACCACGCATTGTGCCGTTGTTGTTTATGCATTTCCCAGAAAGTTTTGCGGTTGACGCTTGGCTGTGATAGGTCGAGAAGCCTATGCCTACATCCCCCAGAATGCCGCGCGCCTCTGACTCTGCTTTACTTCCTGTGTTTTCGTCCTGTTTTTTCTAACGGAGTGACGTTAAACTAACATTCTATCGACCCCATTTTCTATTGATATCGAACATGTGTCTATCACAATATATCTCGTTGTCGTTTTATTGCCCAGCCCTAGTTTTACAGTGTAGTTAGTTTACGGCAGCCGTAAAGCGTGAGCATGCTGAAAAGTGACTTAAATCGGCTTCATATTTACCAAATCCGATATTATCCGATCCTTACAAAATACCCATATCGGCCCCCGATACCGATACTGAATATCGGATCGGTACATCCCTACATCAGACCTGGTGAAAAATTTGATATTTTAGTGTTTATTTTTATGGGACTAAAAAAATGGCAGAACAGCGCCACATATAACAGCCAATGGGAGTTTCAGAGGTCAAGTTTGTCGTAGAGCCATGAAATTAGGTGCACATGTTCAAGTCAAGACATGAAAAACATTTTATTGTGGCCACGCCCTCTGACAAATAGGAAGCCCATAAATTTCACTGCAAAATGGAAAAATGAACAGCAATAATTTTCATACATGTCGGTTGGAAAGCAACTCCTCCTCGGTCGTTTTACCGATTGGCCTCAAAAACCTCCACATCATCTCAACACATGTACCTTCAAAATGACTTCAGGGAATTTTGATCAGTGAAACGTTGTTTGAGCAGCGGAGCGGCAAAATGTGAGTTTTTATTCACTGTTTTTGACAACATTCTATTGGCTCCCGTTTACACATACAAATTCCGATTTGCACAAAACTTGAATCCATGGTTCAATTCTTGGGTCTAGGTCATTCGAAAGTGAAATAATTTAACTTGGCTCATTAACGCCCCCTACAGACAATTTCAGAGTTTTTAGTATGAAAAACTCTGAAAATGTTGACCCCCATGTAGGGGCCGCCAATGAGCCAAGTTCTTTTATTTCACTTTCAATTGACCTAGACCTTAGTTGAACAATGTATTAAAGTTTTGTGCAAATCAGACTTTGTATGTGCAAACGGGAGATAATTTTATATTGTCCAAAACAGCCAAAAAAAGGTCACATTTTGCCGCTCCGCTGTTCAAACAACATTTCACTGACAAATCGCCAAAGTCATTTTCAAGGCACATGTGTTGAGATAATGTGGAGCAATTTTGAGAAGAATCGGTGAAACGGCCGAGGAGGAGTCGCTTTCCAACCGACATGTATGAAAATATTGCTGTTCATTTTTTCCATTTTGCAGTGTAATTTATGGGCTTCCTGTTTGTCAGAGGGCGGGGCCATAATAACATTTTTTTCATGGCTCTACGACAAACTTGACCTCCGAAAACTCCCATAGGGGTATTAGGCCCAAGCCCCGAAAGGGGAAAGGGCGTATTGTCTTTTGTATTTGTTTTTACAGTGTGTTTTTTAAATTGGTTTTAAATGTTGCCAATGTGAAGCACTTAGGGTTGCATTCTGTATGAACTTTGCTATAGAAATAAAAATTGATTGAAAAGATAATTACTGAATGATATCTGAGTGTTGACATGTTTGTTTCTGTGTTAAAATGAGATCGAGTGGACTCATTTGATTTTAAAATATCTTTAGCCTGTTACAAAATAAGTAAAAATTTAAGTTGTTTCACCTTGCTAAAACACATTGTGGAAAAAACGCAGAGGGATATGAAACAGAATGTTTGCTTCTTATCAGTCCAATGAGGGAGTAGATATTATGAATCTCGGTCAGGGTGACATCAGCAGAGAAGCTTTAGAGCAGGGGTGGCCAACCCGCGGCTCGTGAGCCGCATGCGGCTCTTTGGCTGGTTCCGTGCGGCTCTCGGGCTTTCACACGACAAGCGTCAAAAACGCCTCGGTGGTGGCGCTGCCATTCATTCTCTATGTAGTTCTGACCCATAGTAAAGGCCGACTTCACTCCACTAGCCAGGCCACCAAAACAATCTGACGTCGGCGAACGTCAATTCTGATTGGTCAGATGCGCTGTCAACCACTCTGCAGCCGCTGCCTCAGCTGTTAAATATCATAACAAACAACACGTTGCCTCGACCCATGACGTCCGTACGGAAAACAGTTCCTTGGTCGCTGGATGAGGGCAACACCTTCCTCAGTTTGAGGAGAGGACACCAGCCTGAGCTCGATGGTTCCACCAGAAACCAGAAGGTGTTTGTGGAGGTAGCACTAAGGACGGAGCAGAATGATTCCCACAAACATGACAATGCAGAGAAAAGTTAAAAAGCTTAAAAGTGACAACCGTGAAATGAAAGATCGCAGCAGCAGAAGTAGAGGCAGACCCGAAAAGTCTGGAGGTGGTTTGACCAAATGGATTACATTTACGGACATCGGCTAACACCGGCTAACATGCTAAAACCAGCTAACACCAGCTAGCGTTACACCAGGAGATAAGCCAACTCTGCCTGGTGAGTGTCTGTCTTCAATCAAATGCAAAAGTATCTGGTCTTATACTGAACATGTGTCTGTGGTTCTAAATCAGCTAAAGTGGTGTTGGTGTTATGTGTCAAATTTATATCTTTTACTAAATACAGTCAGAGAGTGAATCATGGTTCGATAAAGACAGTTGTGTTTCTGCTGAATACTGGGTTGAAACTTGATTTTTTTTTCTTGGTTAGAGATTGAAAGCATTCATTTCGGAATCATAATTGATGTTCGCTGACGTGCAATTGTTCTGGTATCGACTCGCCCGGTTAGAACCAGGGCCGAACCATCAATAAAAAGTACCGGGGAGCGGCTAAAGCGAGCGTTAGAAGCGCCCGCAAACCAGGGAGAGTCGAGTCCAGCCCTTTAGTGCTGTACGAGTCAATTTCTGTCATTATCATGTTGATGACATTTACATCTATCTGAGCAGAGCACACCTCTCTCTGCTCAGACAGATTGCATGTGTGTGTGTGTGTCTGTGAGCGTGTCTGCTCGTGTGCGTGCGTGTGTAAGGGTTGGGGTGATGTTTATGTAGCGCACATTTGTATGATGTGGCTCTTTGCTGTAACAAAGTAAAAAAAATGGCTCTTAGTCTCTGACTGGTTGGCCACCCCTGCTTTAGAGGATTTGTTTAAACTGTTGTTTGAAAGCACTTTTGGATCTTTGACTTTATTGTTATGTTTCTTGATGGTCACTCACCTCATAAACATGTCTTTTTCCCAAATGAAATGTATTTAAACGTTTAAAGGCCGCTATGACGATTTTTTGTCCTTGGAGCATAATCTAGTACTGCTACTTTTTAACTAGAAGATGCTGAGTAACAATGTTATGCTGTGAAATTCTTTATCCCCTCATAGTATACTTGGAAGAATTGATTGTTTTTTTATGTGTCTTCTTCAGAAAGAGCTGTCGGGCCATAAGAACATTGTGGCTTATTTGGACTCTACTATAAACGCTGTGTCTGAGAGCGTGTGGGAGGTTCTCATCCTCATGGAGTACTGCAAAGGTACGTACGCACACACACCTGCACGGGATTATAAACAAACTAAGACTTGAAGCAGCTCTGATTGTGTACGTAGCGGACTCTATGTGCCATTCATCTGTTGTCCGTGCAGTAAACGGAACATGTGAAAGATACTCCTTTGTTATCTCCCATAGTATTACTGGTATTACCCTGTCCCAAGACAAATCTCTCCCTAGTTACTGAGTTAGTTTAAAAAATGCCTTTTGGTGGTAATCGATATTGTTACTTTAAAAATGGAAGGAATATATTAGTATAGATTATATTGGGGCTCATTCACCAATATCTTAAGAATCTTCTTACATTTCTTCCTACGTCGTTCTTAAGAAGATTTCTAAGAAGACCCTACGTGGGATTCATCAACGCGTTCTTAAACTGCTGAATTGTTCGCAGCTGTTCTGTTAGATTGATAGATGCCATCTACTTGTGAGTTGAGCGCGTGTGCCGGTCCAGAAAGGGCCGCTGTGGCTGCAGGTTTTCTATCAGACCCAGCAGGAGCAGCACAGACTCTGCCCATTTCCTCAAGTAAGCTCAGTCTTAACCTGAAGATTTGAGGAAATGGGAGTCTGCTCTGCTCCTGCTGGGTCTCATAGAAAACTTGCAGCCACAGCGGCCCTTTCTGGACCGGTTTGGACACCCCTGGCATAGGTACTTAGCATAGGTAACCGGCCATTAATTTCCATAAAAGGGACTGCAGGGCTGTGTGCAGACGCCAGAGGAAATGGCAAATTGCCTAAAGCAAAGAGTTACACGGAGCAAAAGGGTCACCATTTTTTTTCTTTTTCCAGACTGAGATTAAAGTCATTATATTTTGACTTTAAAGTTGAAATATTGTGAGAATAAAGTCGAACTAGCAAAACTATGAGATTAATCTCAAACGATGATAGTTAATTTCAAAATATGAGAGTAACCTCAAAATATTTCGGACCCTGAGATGAGATCCAGCGGACCCCCAGGGAGAGGGTCCGCGCTGGTCTCTCCTCGGGTCCAGTGCGGACCCTCTCCCTCGAGGAGAGGCCGTAGATTGGAGAGACCAGAGCGGACCCCGCAATCTCCTGCAGCAGCAGTGTGTGTATATATACATATATATATATATATATGCTATTGTTTTGTGGCCCGTGGATGGAGAAATGCACCCTATGAAAAGGTTGGGGTCACTAATTGACACTATCTAATATACATAGTGGTGCATTTTATCCTTTTCTAAGTAACAACAACATAACAAAAAATAACAATTGTAAACCGCTTTGTGACTGGTCTGTGAAAGGCGGTATATAAATAAAGCTTACTTACTTACTTAAAGCTTACATATAATGTATACTAATGTTCTTTTCCATTTTTGTTACTTTGTTACTTCAGCTAAATATTTAGTAAAACATCTCCATGGCCAAGCACTGAAGTACATCTGAACCAACTTTTAGTGAATAAGTATATTCTCTGCAGCGGGTCAGGTGGTGAAGCAGATGAACCAGCGGCTGAGTGTGGGCTTCACGGAGGTGGAAGTACTTCATATTTTCTGTGACACGTGTGAAGCTGTAGCCAGACTCCATCAGTGCAAAACGCCAATCATCCATCGAGACCTTAAGGTACAAAGAAAATGTTTCTCAATGTAAAGTACTATTAACAGCGGCCATTTAATCTCCAGCAAACTCATACAACAAACTGACCTGTCTCCCTCACTTCTATGGTTCACTCACTCACTTATGTCACTCCTGGAAGCTAGATCCATCACTATGTCACTGTCTGTTCGGCACCATTTATTACTCTGCCTGCGAGCATGTTACCACTCAAGGCCAGTATAGAAAACACCAGTACTGGCGAGGTCTACGGCTTCTTTAAACTAGTGCGAGTGGACATAGAAGTAATGTAAGTGGAGAACGCATCTCTGAACCATTTGTTTAAATCACCTTGATCATTCAGTGTTCGCATGTCTGATTTCTAATTTCTGCAATAAAGCGTTGTGCTTGTAATCCCCTTTTTGTTCATATCCAGTGCTTGCTCTTTCATTATTCATTCATTTGTTTTCTTCCCCTTTATCCTTTGTTACATCTCTGTGTCGAGTGGGGTGACAATCAGACATGATCCTCAGGCAGGTGGTGAGCCACAGGAAGATGAAGGAATAAACTGAAATTGTTAGGTATAGCCCTTGCTGCAGTCCACTTGAGTTTAAATAATATCTAACTAATTATCTTCACCTTTATTGTGCCATTCGCATGAGGTCATGTGACTTTCCTCAGATGGTTGTGTGGGAGATGTGTGGCCTTGCTCTAAACTAGGCCCCAGTGTAGCCAGTTTTCTCAGCTCGACTCTTGTGTGAGAAAATGCGCAAACTGGGCAGATACTTTCAAAGTGGAGCCTACGTGATAATGCCTATAGTAATTTCAATCGATTGTTCTGGGTTACACAGTAATGGCCTTTTATGGATGTATGATGAGAGATAACCGAAAAATATGGTCAGGTCTTTGAGTCATTATCAAATACAGGAAAATCAAATCAAATACAAATTTGTAAGATCATTTACCTCTTGCCTCTTTTTCATCTCAAACGCTTTTGTGAGCCCAGTAAAGTGGTCTGATTGTGGCCAGTCCGAGCGCTCTGTCATTGGGCTGTTCTGCTCCTGGTTTGGTCCTGTTTGGACTGGACTCAAAAGCACAGAGCTCTCTTCAGCTCCACAGACTCGACAGTGTTCGACCCACTCGCGTTACACAACACTACCACAAAAGAGTGAGGGCAGAGGTTTGGAGGGACGGGGGATCAAGGCTGATGGGAGTTTGAGCGTTGCGTCGTCTTTCAATGCAAACCATTGACTTTGCATTGAAAGACGACGCAACGCATGATCCGGTCTGAACGCGGCATAAGGCCAGGCTATTCCTTTGCAGACGATGTAAAGATTCTTGTCTGTCAGAGTTCAAATTGCCAGTGTTCTTGGGAAGCAGCCCCTAAGAGTGAGCGTCAAAGCGCACAAGCGTCTCGGAATGCACGCACGGACTGCTCAGTAGAGACCAGTGGGGGCGGGTCCCGGCTCAAAAGTGGCCAAAATGACGTGCGCTGACATGCTTGCAATACCACCCTGGGCCGATTGGGGGTGGACCCGGAATAAGAATTAGCCAATGCTAACATATAGGATTAACAGACCTCTCAAACGCCTTTACCGGATGCTCCAAAAGTTGGCTCTTGGCCCAAAGCTCCGTTCCACATGTGTGTCAATGCTGAGGGGAGTGAATTTTTTTGGACCACTCTAGTTTACTTGGTGTGAATTTTTGAAGCCACTCGTTTAAATGAATGGAGCTCACGCCGGCTGACGCATGCGCAGATGTGTTTTTTCACATTATCCAGCCCCCGCGGCCATTTTAAATCACTCCATGATAGCCCAATTTTTGGCCCATTAGTTAGAACGGTGGAGCTAAGCGTGACTATGTTCGTTAATATATACAGTCTATGACAGAGACGCAAGGACTGCGCGGGAAAGTCGAAGGGGAGGAGAAGGAGCAGAAAATCGACGCACACAGATGAATTTTGCTAAACCTTTCCTCGGGACGCTCGTGCAGCAACCAATCAGAGAGCCGCAAAGTGGCCACGGTGACATTAGCGGTCTGAGCAAGCAGACTGAAAAAACTCGTAAACAGCCAAAACAGGAGCTACAGCAGGACTAAACCGCACCTCAGTGAACACACACTACTGTTATATAAAGTCTGTGGAGAAGATCTTTACACAAGAAGCCGCTAGCTAAACTCTGTTGGCATCAAAGCCCGCCGGCTACTTCCGCCACTTCCGGCGTGTTAAGGAAGTTTCTACCCAATGAAGGAGAAAACTCAAAGGTCTTTGTCTGATCAAAAGCGTAAGTTTATTGTTAACATACGTACGGAGAGTCAGCACATACACAAGGCAGCATGTACTAGCTCTGGGGGCCAGAGCCCCGAGCTTCCTGTATACAAGACACACACGAAAGCCAGTCCCGCCCACAACAGATGGGAGGGGGGCCACCGGTGCAGGAGGCGCATAGGGATGCAAACAGACTGCAGGATGTAGAGAGTGCACACATACAGACCGATACATATGCAAGAGGTGAAAGGGGGCAAGAGTGATAGCCATTGTCTGTAGGTGTCGGGGGGGCCCGGCTCCTTCCTGGCAGCAGGGACATATGGATAGGAGCAGGCATACCGATTCAAGATACGAAAGACACAAGGGTGTGACAGACAGCAGGGGGCCCTCACAAAGCTCAGCATGGCGTCAGAAGGGCGTCTCTGCATTGATAAAAGGCCTTTGACGTCCGTGTATTTGCTGCGGCTGGTTTTATGTAATTACTCCAAAAACTGTCACCACACTCCCCTCTTTTGATAATTCAAAACCATTTTTGCATTAATCAGTTAAATACCAGAGGCATCGTAATCACACCACCTTCAAGCTTGAAACACTTAAATTATTGCTGTCCAAAGTGGACAAGAAAAGAAACATGCTTGTCAATAAAAGAAAGAGCACATTATAATAACACAATGGATCCGGACAGCGATAAGAGAAGACAATATTAACATAATAAACACGGTCAGCACGGAAAGTAGTGTCAGTGTGGCCAGCATAACAGTCCAAGGGCCCATGCCGGTCTTAGCCGGGCTACGTTCGGTAGTCTTTTCCGCGGGAATACTCACGAGCAGTGCCGTCTCGCAGTCAGTGGCACCGCTCCCTATGAGCGTGTGTGGAGCGTTAGTGGTCATGGCGATGTTTGGTCTTGGAGCGGCAAGACTCTAATTGCGTTGAAGCCTTGGCCTCAGCACTCGGTTGGGCAGAGTGCTCGGGGTTTGGGGTGTGGAGACCATGGCTTGAGCACGCTCCAGATCGGCCAGGCCCAAAGCTCGTTTGATGGGAGACCTCATGACAGCACGCTTCACCATGTGCCTCATCAGGAACTGTAGAGCAGCCCTCATCTCCACCTCCTCCGGACACACGGGAGACGAGACACCAGGGGGCACTCCAGCAGAGCTCAAATCTGCATTATGGCCAGAGGGAGCAAGCTCTGGAGAAATCTTTGGAATGGGCAGCAGCTCTGCATACTTGCTGCAGCTGAGCAGAGCGCTCAGGGCCTTCATGGCTCCCAAGCCTTGGGATCCGGGGGCTGGGGAGTTGGGCAGAAGGGGGGTCGCCTCGGGAACGCTGGGATTCTCTGGGTGTTGTTGTTGGCCTGCTTCACCGACGGTGGCCGCACGCCGGCCGACTTCTTCAGCGTAGGGAGCCGCGGATGGGCCTGGTCCGTCCGCGCCCTCGGTGTCCTCGTCTATGGCCCTCAGTGGCAGCACCGCACAACAGTGGTTGGCGTGGATCCAAGTTGTCCTCTCCGCGACCTTAACGGCAGTGTCCGTCACCAGGAGGGCGAGGAATGGGCCGAGCCAGCGCTTGGACCGCCAATGTTGTCGTCTCGTTTCCTTCACCAGGACTCAGTCGCCTGGCTTGATCCTGTGCTGAGCCGCCTGCGCAGCCTGTGGCAGGGCGCTCCTGACCTGGGCAGAAATAGAGGACAAAAGTGCATTAATTTCCTTACAATAGGACAGCATGTCGTCATCACACAAAGAGGTGCTTGGCAGATCTCTGTTCGGGGGTCCCGCGCCCAAGTTGGGTGGTCTGGCACAGAGGATTTCGAATGGGACTCTCATGCGCATGTACATGAGGGCTAGCGGCAGAGCTTTGAGTGCCATTCTCTCGCTCGCACGCGCCTCGGCTCCAGGGGGCGTAACTGCAGTGTTTACGTATATCAATGCCCAGAAATTCACCCACTTCCTCAATGACTTTTGCTACAAAGTGACTCACCACCGCGTTGCTCGTGGCGTGTTGCCTGCAAATACTTCAGTCCATTTGGACCAGAGATCCGCCAGACCCAGACAGTATTACTTACCTTGGCATGGTGTGAGTTCAACAAAGTCCCTTTGGACATGTTGAAATGGGCGCAGGGGCGGAGGATGAGCAGCCTGTTGGATACTTTTGGGACTTACCTGGGTTGTGCGCGGGGCATATAGCGCATGTTTGGCTGAATCTCTGTGCAAATGCCGTAAACCCCTTTGTATACCAATTTTGTGTGATTAAATCACACATCATCCCTCCTTTTGAGGCATGGTCTCGACCATGTGCTAAAATTGCAAACTGTCTGAAGAAATGCCGTGGTAGGCACGGTTTGCTGTCTGGTCCCAGCCACACACACCATGCCGTCGTTGAGCCCCATTCCCCTCCCACAGCAGCGTCTCTGCTGGAGTAGAAAAATATCAACGTCTTGAGTGAGGTAGTGTGTGTGTGTGTGTAGAGGTGCGTATGCCGCTGCCTTGTCCGCGCGCCGATTCCCTGCAGAGATGGGATCAGTGGCATTAGTGTGGGCCTGGTATTTGCATACAGCGATCTCTAAGGGCAACATTACAGCTCTCAGCAGACGTTCAACCTGTGTGGAATTAAGAATTGGTTTACCATCAGATTTCATAAAATTGCGGTGTTTCCACAGTGCTTCCCAGTCGTGCACCACAGAGAAACCATAACGCGTATCACAGAATATGTTAACCGTTTTGCCCGCTGCCAGCCCCGGTGGGCGCGACCAGTTCAGCGGTTTGTG